AGACATGTGGACGCACTGCGAACACCTACACGCCCTCAACATTGTTGAGAACCAACGAGAGGTTCGAAGGAAACTCTACTCACTCGATCTCCAAGATGACGCAACGTCTGAGGAGATGGCGGCCCATGTGGAGTTGTTCTCGAAGTTGGTCATGGAGGCAAAACTGGTAGGGATCGGACACACGTCGCATGAGCGTGCGGCGATGTTTGTGGGAACGATCCTTGGACCAGCCTTCCGTCCTGTCATTGTGAGATCAATGCCGTGGAAGAAACCAAGGGCGACTGGCCGTTTTTACTCTCAGAGTACAACGCCGAGTCGGCTCGCCGCAAGGCTCGCCCTCTTGCTCGATCGACCGCACCTCGGGGTGGTGCCGTCCTGGCAACTATGGGCCAGCCGAGGATCAGCAGAGAGGCTGCGGAGCAAGGGTGAAAGGATCGTCGACAAGACATGTCGAAGATCGAATGTTACGAGTGTCACAAGATAGGACACTATGCGAGGGATTGCCGGTCGAAGACCAAAGGCGGCAACAATCAACCTAGAGGAGGTCAAGTCAGCAAGATCCATCACCGCGGGCAACGAGGAGCCCAGCGATGAAGAAACACACCTATCAAATGTGAAGACACAAAGGAGGAGGGACGCATCTCCCTCTCGAAGGCTCTATTCGACGAGCACTAGTCGTGGGTTGGCCTGACAGTTGGCAGCGAACCCATGCAGTCATGGGCTGATATGGAAGATGATGGGAAGGAGTTGGAACCCATCGAATGGCCAAATGAGGCAGCGATCGAGGCGAATCCTTGGGCAGACATGGCAATGTTCACCCAAGACTCGATCCTAATCACCCGTGAGCCAGTACAACCAACGTGGGTGGTCGACAGCGGAGCGACGCACCGTATCACAGCTTGCCGAGAGCTGCTTCGAGGCACACGAAAGCTTGAGGAGCCAAAGGTGTTCGGCTTGGGGGACAGGACAGCGTCCATGAAGGTCAGCGAGGTTGGAGAGGTCCATGTACGACTTGGATCTGGCCGAAGGATAACCTTGAAGGATGTGTACTACGTGCCTGCATCAAGAGTTAGCCTGTTATCCCTCTCGAGTCTACTCAAGCATGGCTGGACCGTTGACATGCGTGACCATGGAGGAAGAATCAAGCGTGGCAAGGAACGACTCACCTTGCGAAAGGATGGACCTTTATGGACGACAGTAATTGGAACCGTTGAACTACTCATACTCTCCGCAGGGACCGGCAGCCTAGGGAAGAGTGTTCTGGAGGAAGAACATCAGCGACTAGGTCATATTGGCAGGGAGAAGCTGTTGGATCTGGCGAAGGCAAGGAAGCTCAAGGGATCGTACGAGGACTTACGCAAGTATCCTTTCCGAACGGACCAATGCGAGGTCTGTCTTCGAGCCAAGATCGAGAGGTACCCCGAGACCGGGGAAGTGCCCATCCTGCGAGGCGGCGAGGAAGGGATATCACTTGACGTCGACCTAGCTGGACCACTGGATCTATCGGTCGACGGACACCGTTACCTATTCGTGGGTATCGAGCGATCAAGTGGGATTGTGTTTGCAATACCAACCGAGACCAAAGCGGACGAGATGAGGATGGTAAAGGAAGCAGTGGCCAAGCTCGAAAGGCAACTTGGTGAACGGGTGAGAGTCATCCGAACCGACGGTGGGACAGAATTTGGCATCGGCGAAGCGATCAAATGGTTCAAGACTACAGGGATTCAGCACTACACCTCGCCAAGATACACACCAGGGCTCAACGGAGCTGCCGAAAGGATGGTACGCACGCTAAGGGAAAAGACATCAACCCTACTCCTCGACTCCAGACTCCCATCCGAGTACTGGGCATACGCCACAAGATACGTCGCAGTTATCCTGATGAAGACGTCAAACAAGGACCCCTCACCGTGGACGAGACTCACGGGAAGAGCCGGGGGCATTGATAGCTTGCCAAGATTTGGCCGACGATGCTTCGTGAAAGTACCAAGGGAGGTTCGGCGTAAGGACAACTTGACCACCGAGAAGAGAGGTCAGGGATCCTATTGGGCCAAAGTGAGACCGTCAGTGGTTGGATCATTCGACGAGATCGGGACGGAGCAATCACTCACTCGAGGGACGTACGATTCATTGAAGAGCGCCCCGAGGAGATGACCCGCGGAGATGGGATCCACGGACCGATGGGCGTCCCCACCACGCTCAGAGCCGAGGAAGGCCCAAGCGAAGTATCGCCACAAGGGGCGTCCCCCTCGGGCGAGGCTCAGTCAGCCGTGCGAGTTACAATCTGGGCCACCACGGAGGGTGGTGACCCAGACGAATCGTCTGACGGGGAATCCGACATAGGAACCCCCGCCAGAGGACCCGCGCTCCACCAGCGCGAGATGTCAGATACGCGGGGCCTCAGCCCCGCGCACGCCCGGGCTCAGTCGACCGTGCTCAGTAGAAGTGAGATGGGCCCTGGTGGAAATCAGTCGAAGTCAAGAATACCCGTACCGAGCAGACGCACCCGGCCCGCATACTGGGTTATCACGAAGGCCAACTTGCTCACCGGTGTGGACCGCATCTTGGACGCCTTTGCCAGAGCCCTAGAGCTTGGCTGCAAACCCCACATACAGGGTGCCGAGAGCACAGACGGCCGGTCGGCCTTTCACGCTGGCGCCTTCCTCAAGCCCTGCGCCTCAAAGTCACTCCCTTGGGTCTTCATGGACAAGCTTCAGCCGCTGAGGTCGTCCGGTCCAGCGACTCAACAGCACTCGATGCCAAGGATGGCGGCGATGGTTGACCTCTGCCTTGCCATAGACTCGGTCCTCAACAGAATGCTCTTAAGCGGCATGACTCCCGGACCCTCACCCGGTCCCGTTGGCTGCATCAAGCCATCCGCACTGCGTCCTACAAGGACATTGATTACGGTCGACTCCAGTCAAACCCGTTCCCGCCGGGCATCTTTGACGACATCACCCGTGTCCTTCGCTTTGGTAACCTCGGCACGTGCGTGGACCTCAGCCGTGGGCAGGCAGAGAAGCTCGACCTCGACCTCAATGACGACAACGCTATCTACACCAGCATCATGGTGCTCGGCAAATCCGGGGAGCTCTGGAACTCATCTCGCCACCAAGGTCATCTCTACCTGCCGACCCTCGGGGTGATGTTGCCCATGACCGTTGGCGAACGCTTGGAAAATTGATTTCTGAGCGGTGAGTTGTACTTCTTCTAAGGCGATCCTCTTTGGCATGCTGAACAGAGGCCCACTGCTTCTCAGTGCCCCGATGATCTGAGTGCTATATATACACCGACCAAGCCGGAGGCCGATACATGGTGGAGGCGATGCCCCCGCGCGTTGGGGAATGTGAGACTTCACGCCGTCGCGCACTCGAAAGTCCCTCCGCGGCGTTCCTACTAGCGGATGTGTGATCTTATCACGTCTCCAAGATCCAACAGCCTCACTCGTCATTTACAGGACATCTCCCAGATCAGGCGTGAGGCAATACATCATGAGGCGAGGAAGGTTTAGGGGGTTACATCTTGGGTCTGCTATCCCTATGAGGCTGTAGTCTACTCGTCTAGAATCATTAAAACTTGAAAAAAAAATGCGGACTCTGGCCCTCAGCAAGATGTCTAGAATCGTTGAAACTTGAAAAAAGAAGCGGACTCTGGCTCAGCAAGATGAGGGAGAGCCGCCCGACAAGAAGAGAGCATACTCCCGTCCTGATTGATTTCCACAGAGCCCCTCCGACTCGGCGGAGGGATATACCGCGAGGCATCGTGTAAGGTTTGTCGTTGAAAACAATACCAATACCAAGTGAATTGGGATATACGTGTGTAGGTAAGTGAAGAAGCTGGATGGAGAAGAGAAGCGGTCAACGAGTTCGATGCGCCCCAATGACGCAGGTGCCATCAGGCAATGACAGCCTCTCGTCCCGACTGGAGCATACAAAGCTCCTGACTTTCTACACAGACGTCTACCATGTTCAGGCAATGTCATTCATCCATCGAGCACAGCTGTCCCGCCAAGTCGAATAAATCCAAGCTTCTTCAATCGTCATAGAAGCCATCTGCGGCCTATCTGCTCGCTATCAGGAGATGGTCTCGTTGAAGAGCAATGAATGTTACAGGATGGCAAGGCGGACGGAGGGATGCCTCGACGTAGCTCGCCCTAGCGTTGGCAAGGCTGCTCACTGAGGTTCCATGGGCTTCGGATGGAGGCGGCACTGTACCGAGGACATTGAATGCCTTTTGGTTGATCACCTGCGCCAACGCTGGGACGGCAGGTGGTGAGCGGGCTGCGAAGCCGCGACTCAACAAGGAAAAGACCTTTCGATATGCCACGGCCCCGACGACAATGGCGATGACCACAACGCTGATTGCGCCGTGGTGTTTGAAGGCCGGTCTTCCCTCAGTTGGTAAGGGTTTGGCGGCCTCCGTAGCAGTGACTGGCTTGTCTGATGTAGGGCGCTTTGATGCGCTCACGCCGCCTTGGGCCATGACTGCAAAGGATGTGCGCTGTGTCGTTGAAGGTCTACGGACTTTGGATCAGTGAAATCGTACCTCCTCGCCCGTGAGTCGTCGATCCTCATACTCACCGGGAAGACAGCGTCGACGGACCCCTATGGGTGGTCAGACGAGGGTTTGCTGGGAGCTTCGCGGTCAAAAAGACTGATATCGACGGCGACTGATTTGTGCGAGTAGTTTCTGTGAATGCATCGAGTACCATCCTCGCATCTCCGCACTGAAGGCCCGTAGTAAGGCGACATCGGGCCGAGCTCGGGATGTTGGCGTGTTGGCGGATAGACCCTGGAGGAGCGACGCGCCGGTCTGCAAGTTGCGATCTGATCGCCTCAAAAGTGATCACGTGCCAGTCATCCATCTCGCTCTTCGTTCCAGGCAAAGACGTATAAGTGTCAACAGTCCCATGAACCACGATCGGCGTGCAAAAGCATATGAGGCTCGGCGACCAAGGCCAAAAGAACCAGAGTCCCCTGCTGTAGCCGTTTCCAATGACGTGGTCCCAGCAAGGGTTGAACCAGCGGCCTCACGAATGACTCTTCTTGGACTGCAGTCGTGCGCTCTCCCAGCTGAGCTATCAAACCACTCGTTATTCCCTGTGCCAGTCAACCCTTAAACGGTCGGCTATTGCGGTGACAGAGTTAATGAGTACCTTGATGAGGATGCCACAGGAGCGGGCAAGTTCATGCTCTGTACTCGTACTGTACTTGTACAAGTAGAATGCAAACAGCCTAAAGAACCTGTGCGGCTGAGCTTCTGCAAGCTTCTGAGCACATTAGGCTGTAGTCATGACGAGTTCCGTACACATGGCCAGCGAGATACAGTACAAAAGCTCCGTTCAATTGGTATTTTGAGTGTTGTAATAGCTTGCCAAGAAGCCCGTCGCCCGAGCTAGAGGTCCCTCCGGCGCTTTGTACTCTGAGACCGCGTCTTCAATGACGGATTCGGGTTCCCCATACCCTCCGCCTCCGGGCGTGTCTGATCAAAGTCAGGCGGATTCAAGAAGGGACACGAGGAAGCACTCACGGATGACGATATGGTCCCCCGGGTTCATGGTGCACTCGTTCATGCCGCCAAGGTTGATCTCGGCCACGTGCCCGTGGGGCATATTCCTTTTCCAGATGTTGATCCCCTTCGCACCCGGGTCTCCCCCACACATCCCGTAGGGAGCGACGGATCGACGTTGAGATAGGATGGCGACGTTGACCTTGCGCGTAAATTCGATATCGCGAACGCAACCATCTCCTCCGCGGAAGCGACCCTTTCCACCCGAACCATAACGTTGGGAGAACTGGTGGATGATGACAGGATACAATCGTTCGATCACTTCGACGTCGCCGATGGCAGTGTTGGTCATGTGGACATGTACACAGTCCTGGCCTTGCCAGGAGGGACCTGCGCCTGCGCCACCTGCTATCGTTTCGTACTGTCGCAGAGTCAAACAGGACTATGTGTGCGCTTTCCGAGACTTACGTAGCCGAAACCGGGAGTGACCTTCCCGTCCACGATATCACCTCCATAGCCAAATGTGAGGTTGTTGCAACCTCCCTGGGACGCCCCGCATGCCTGGAATGCCTTCAAGATGGTATCTGTCGCGCGCTGCGAGGTATCGACGTTACCTCTTGTTTTGGTCAGCAAATATCAAACTAAGGCTCCTGAGCGCTTACCCAACGGTTGCGGCATCCTCCGAAGGCGAGAGAATTGTGCCCAGTGGCAGAATGATGCTGATCGGCAGGAGGCACCCCTGGTTGAGCGGAATATCGATGGACAACATCGACCGGAGGACGTAGATGATGGCGCTATACAGAATGGCGGTGGGGGCATTGAGATTCCCATAGCTAGTCCGTTCAGTGACATTGGTCCGCAAGGAGCTCATCAAGCACCTACATTTGCTGGCTTGTCCCGGTGAAATCGAAGACCGCATCGCCCTCCACAGGATCAATGGTGATTTTGAGGCGGATCTCGGAGCCGTCGTCCATGTAATCAGAGGCTTCAAGAGGTCTGCCTTGAAACTTCTTGTGGATCTCGCGCAGCATTCCTCGTACGGCGAGCTCAGCGGTACGTTGGATCGCCAACATGTAGAACTGAACGAGGTCGAGCGAAGACTCGGCGATCAGCTGGCCAATGAGCATGGCGCCACGGTGACTGTGCCCGGTTAGATCGGACATGGAGCGAAAAAGGAGGGGACGAACCAGGATGCGACCTGCGCTTTCAGGTCGGAAATGTTATCGTTCAAAGTTCGAGTGCCGCTGCACCCAGGGTATTGGCCCGGCAGGTCGAAGAAGTGGTGCTTGACACCTTGCTCATCGAACACACCCTTCTTGACCAACTTGAATGACTTGATCTGAGCACCTTCTTGCCAGATCTCCTTTGAGAATGGTGGCATACTACCGGCGGTCATGCCCTCAATGTCTGCCTGCGTAGAGCTTCAGCCTGGGACAGCAGAAGCATCGAGAACACTGACATGATGCGCCCGGGCTGCAGTCCAGAACACGACCTTCCCATTGTGGAAGGTGGGAACGATGACAGTGCAATCCGGTAAATGCGAGCCCCCTGCACTGGGGTGGTTACTGAGCAAGCAGTCGCCCTCTTCAAGCGCCCCCGGTTGGCTGTACAGCTGTGATTGATACCGCACAGCGTGTGACATGGCTCCCAGGTGGCAAGGAACTGGGAACAATTAGCATACAATGTCTCCCTAGGGCCTACTGTGCGGCGCATTGGCAACGAGGCCACCGTCTGGAGAGAACTACCAGTGTACTGTAAGCATACAGTCAGATGCGTCACAGCACGGACTCACCAGGGCGCAGCTGAAGTCAAGACGCTCTTTGATGTTGGTGGATATAGCGGTCTTTCGAAGGATGTTGCCCATCTGCTCCGCGATGGACATGAAGCGATGACCCATGACGGCGAGTTGAACAGGATCGACGTGGTCGATGTCAAGCTTCAGAGGAGCCTTCTTGACCTGCTGCTGATCGATGAGGACGTGCTCCTGCAGAGCCGTGGCGACCCATCCGGGTTCGACAAGGATAGTCTGAGTCGTGTCGTACAGCAGCGCAGGGCCCTACAATACAACATCAGCCACTTCAATGATGCAGGCAAGATCGTGCTCACGGCAACCTGTTCCCCAGATTGGAGACCACTCAGGGGAATAACGCTGGAGTCCAGGTAGCCCAGTCCGTCGAAGTAGATTTTCTTACTGCCGAAATCACCGGTGTTGCAGTGCCGAAGGCGAGCTCCTTTGTACTCGGCATAGGGGCTCTCGACTGTTGAGCCCGCACTCAGTCCAACAGAGCGCACGCGAATGTCGTCACACAGTATGGGTCGGTTGTGAAGGATAAATCCAAACTGCTGTTCATGCTCCTTGACAAACGCCCTTACGAAATCGCGGTCCACGGGCTCTTCGATCATCAGTTGGGTCGAGCTGCCCTGGTACCTGCAGTTGAGGTATCTCTCGGCTCGGATTGAGTCGGCAGAGAAGCCCTGCGCCCCGAGCCGTCGGACTCCAGCCGACTCGAGGCGAGCCAATCGATCTTGGACCTCAACATCGCAGGAGCCATCGAGGACATAAGCGGCTGGCTCCTGTGACTCGCTGACGACGTCGGCCAACGACATGCCGTATGCCGAGAGGATGGACGAGAAGCGGGGAATGATGATACGACGGATGTCGAGGGGACCGGCGATGCCGGTGCCGAGTTGTCCACCGGCGCCACCGAACATCACTAGGTGATGTGCTGAGCTCTCGTAACCGCGAGCCTCGGTGAGGGTACGGATCGGTCGGCAGACCGCTTCACTAGCGACGCGTAGGAACCCAGCGGCGACTTGCTCGATCGTGAGCTTCCCCTCGCCGGCGGTCCGATCTGCGTTAATCGTCTTGGTGAGGTCTTCGAACAACGCGCGACTCGCTTTAAGATCCAAATGTTCGTCCTCGTTGGGTCCGAAGATAGCGGGGAAATGCTCCGGCAGTAGGCGGCCCAAGACGAGATTCGCGTCGGTGATCGCCAACGGTCCACCCTTTTTGTAGCAGGCCGGACCAGGGTGGGCACCCGCTGATTCAGGACCGACCACAAACATGCCATTGCGATAGAATAGCCTCGATCCACCTCCGGCAGCAACGGTGTTGATGTCCAGTTGCGGAGCTTGGATGATGACCTGAGCGACGGCCGTCTCGAAGACGTGCTCCAATCTGCCGCAGTATCGAGAGACATCCGTACTGGTGCCGCCGATGTCACAACCGATAAGTGGTACGCCCTCCTCCTCATCGTAGCATGTCCGCGAGAAACCGATGACTCCGCCAGCGGGACCCGATAGGATGGCACGCAGACCGCTGAACTTATCCCAAGCGCAGAGGCCACCGTCGGATTGCATGAAGAGCAGTTTGTTGCCGAAGGCTTCGATACCTCCCTCGAAGCCCTCGCCGAAAGATTCCAAGTAGCGACGAGTGACAGGGGTGAGGTAGGCGTCGGCGGTGGCAGAGTTCGCGCGGGAGACGATCTTGATCTAGCACAAGTCAGTGTTTACCCCGAGGCCACGGGGGTTGGCTAGGTTTGGAGGGCATACCATAGGTTGCAGCTCGTGGGAGACTGATACGGAAAAACCTTTTGTCGTGGCGAGACTGGCGATCATCTCTTCGTGTTTGGTGAAGGTGTACGAGTGTACAAGAGCCAGTGCCAGACTGCGATAACCCTTGCCCCACAACTGATCCAGCTGTTCCTGGACGACAGCGACGTCCGGTCTTCTCAATACGCGTATGATCTCGCCAGTGACGCCGACAGTGAGGTCGGGATCCTCGTCAACGTTGATGGGCTGAGGGTCGGGATTCATGCCGAAGGTCTCGACGGTGACACGCTCATCGATCTACCGGTGTCAGTCAACCTGCACGCGAACTGTGAGGCTGGATGCACCTCAACAACCTCTTCATATAGGAACGCCAGCTTTTTGATACTAAGATCGAAGATGGAGGGTCGCGCTGAACCCTGTCAGCTGTGACCGCTCCAGGCAGAGATACGTACCCTGCATCCCGATTTTCATTACATCCTTGTACCCCTTGGACGTGAGGAGAGCACATCGCTCCCCATTGCGTTCCAACAGCGCATTGGTAGATACCGTCGTGCCCATGCGAATGCTCTCAACGGCGTCGAGTCTGAGCTTCTCCCCCTTCGGTATTGGCTTGCCTGTGACGACCTCGAGGATGCGGCGAATGCTTCCGGCAAGTTATTGACATGCTTCGCCAACCTTCCTCCCGGGCTGCTCACCATTCTGTAGGGGCATCATCGTAGTTTGCCGGATCGACGGAGAGTAGCTACGTGGTATGAGCGATGGTATCACGCCCGCTGGACCGCTTGCTGACCTTCACAACGATGTCCTCGTATCCAGGACCCCTGGAGCAGATGGAGTCGGTGAAGGTACCACCTCTATCTGCGCAAAACGTCAGTCAAGCTCTGGCGAGTATCGCTCACCGATGGAAATGCGAGCCAGGGCTGGTACGCTGGGCATTGTGGGTAAGGATGTGTTTCGAAAGGATGAGAGACTCACTGGTCGAGCCATTGGATTTTGTAAGTTCGAGACTTGAGGTCGATCGGCTCGC